TTTAGGGTTTGGGGGGTGAGGGTTTAGGATTTAGGGTTTAGGGTTTAGGGGTGTTAAGCGGGTCGGCTTAGGGTTAGGGGTCCAAGGCGAGGTTTCAGCTTCTTTAGGGCTTTGCAGAGCTCTATAGTGGGATCCTAGTGTAAGGCTTTAGATTCCCAGTTTATTACTATTGTTGTTATTACTATGGTTGTTATTAGTATTATTATTGTTATTATTATTAGTATGATTATTATTACTATTAGTATGTTTTGGCTGCTTGTTGAAACAATGGGTGTCGGCGCAGCAATACAGATCCTAAGGAGGATCCTTTTCAGAACTCGCCTTGCTTACTTGAGATGCCACGACTTACAAGGTTGCACCCTTGGTATCCCTTCAAGCCCTGCTGATATGTGCTCTTGATTGACAGTCAACTTATGGCTAACGGTAGCCGGAACCTCGCCTCATCAACTTTCACAATTGGTCTTGTGCCAAGCAGTCATGATCCCAGTCGCAGTTGAATCTAGTCGAGCAGGTGGTCCTCACAACGAACATTGCAGAAACATCCATTACCATCGATGACGTGGAGTACGCAACTTGGCCACAAGCAATTCGACTTTCTTGCCCATTCCACAACTGTGGTTTCACCTAGAAGCACAAAATCTTGGCTGTCATCTCGAGCCAACATGATCAGCCAATTTGTCGATGGTCGACAATTCCAGTGTCTTTGGGCTTACCACCCTGACGCTAAACCTGAACCTGAACCGTGCAATCTGGATGACTACAGCTCCTATGTAGTTTGCAGCAGTGTTGATGGCTCTGGGATGTTCAAGGTGTGTGTGCGCTTGGCTGTCCCTCAACTCTGCAATCCCCTACAAGCCGTTGCCTTAAACCCTAAATCCTGGGGCCCAAACCCTAAACCCTAAATCCTACAAGCCCAAGGGTGCTGTTAAGGATATTATAAGGGTACTACTATAAGGGTACCATAAGGGTTTAGATTTTAAAGATCCATGCAGTCAAATAGTATATGCTTTATCCTTTGAGCCCAAAATGTACACTACTTGGGTAATATAGGGGCCTTCCTAATTAGAATAGGGTTTTAGGGCATATCATACTATATTTATGATAAGGAACCCCCCGCAACATAAGATTGGAAATTATCTAGGCTTCTATAGTACATGGACCCTGGTGGTATGATTGCGTCAGGCGGCTATGCCTTTTTCAGCGCTTCGGTAGGAACCCAGCTCTTCGATAGGTTTAGGCTTTAGGGTTTAGGGTTTCGGCTTCAGGGTTTAGGGTTGCACCCTATATGAACCCTAAACCCTAAACCGTGTTTTAGTTCAGACTTGCTGCACCATGACAACTTGGAGTTTCATGGGTAGATATAAGTAGGGTTATAAGTCCCTAATATGGGTTATAACTATAGTTACCCTGCTTATTACCCCACTTATAACTACCCATGAACCTCCAAGAATACTACAAGATTGTACCGGGGTTCTGGCCTTAAAATGCAGCTCAAGGGGACTGTAAGCATTCATGTTGCTCGACTTCCACTTCCGTCACATAGTAACCTCCTTCAAATAATCTCCGAACTATATAGCTAGATTAAACCCTGAACTCAGAGGTCATCACATGCTCTTTGCGAGAGGTACAAGTAGATGCCCAAGCTGAGAATTGTCAGGATATAGAAAGGTGGTAAGTAAGGCAGCTACAGTTTTGATTCCAGGTAACCCTAAAACCCTAAACCCTTAAACCCTAAACCCTAAACCCCTGAACCCCAAACCCTAAACCCCTTTAGGGGCTAGGATTCAAGATGCGAGGTTTTAGGTTTTGGGGTTTTGGCTTCGGGGCTTTTTCTGTCCAGGTAAAGGTTTAGGGCTCAGGATGCTTTGGAGCTTGGAAGGCTATCGTCTGGGCTTCCGTGACTGCTTCACTGAGATCGCGGCACCACCCGAACATATTTCCCGACTTCGCTATACATTTCGAGTGCGTGCTGTAGGCCCATGGTAGGCATCAGGGGACCAGGAGAATTCTACAACCAGCACAGGTCGTCGATTGTGGCCGGCACAAGCAGCTTGGTTTGCATACTTCAGAGCCTTCGCTTTTCGAAAGGCAATCAGTACCCATAGGCCCCATAATAGTTCCTTTTTGTGGCTTATATTTAGGATCCTATTAGGAAATCCCAAACAGGAACTACTATGGGGCCTATGGGTAGAGGTTGTGTGCATTCGTGCGACGTGTCTTTTGTTAATCAGGGCCTTATCTGTGGAGGGTGTGCATTTCATCTTGAAGAAGCGGTAATGCTGTCTCGTAGAGGCCCTCATTACGACTATAACCATAACTGAACCCCAAACTTTAAACCCTAAACCCCAAAGCCCTACTCTACCTGCAGAGCCAAATAGTCTGTGAAGCCCTTGACACCTAAGGGTAGAATCGCAAACCTCACGGAGGGCTTTCGCAGCACCCTTTAAACCCTAAACCCTAAACCCTAAACCGTAAACCTTAAACCCTAAAACCCTAAACCCTGAACCCTACACCCCTAAGCACACAAAGCCGCAAACCAGGTCTCCAAAGTCATGGAGCGGCGCGGCT